GGCCTCGTGCCTATGGCTGAATCCCAGCCGTGCTGATATAGTCATATCGCACTGCTACTTGTGTGATATTGCGCATATATATTCATATATATATATATATATATATATGCCTAATTCTTAATACTGTGTCGTTACCTAAATGATCCACGACTGGATTATATATATATATATATATATATATATACATATATATATATATATACATACATATACACATTTTTTTTGTGAAGGTTGTTCCATGAGTCCCTTGTTTGTCCTGAACAGTTAAACTGCCTGCTGTTCTTCAGAAAAAATCCTCCAAAAATCCTGCAAATTTGTGGGCTTTTCTGGCATCTTTTGCATAAAATTGTCAAAAAACATGGTTGTACAGAAGAAAATCATACAGGTTTGGAACCACACAAGGTTGAGTAAATAATGACAGAATCTTTCATTTTATGTGCTGAAGGTGTGTTGTATGGCCCAATCGTTTCAACTGATGTGTTTTGTTGGGATGCTTCCTGAACATTCTGTTCCAGATCACACCACAGCATTTAAATCAAATTGAGCTCGGAACTTTGGCTATTCTAATTTACGCAATTTGAGAATTCTGTTGTTGATTTACTTCTGTGTTTTGGATTGTGGTCATACCGCATGAGTTTTAGATCATGTCTTGACAATGTGCTGTACAATTTAAAATTCATTGGTCCCTCAATGACTATAGCTGTCCAGACCCTCAGGCATCAGATCAGCTCCACATCCCTCTCCAGACATATGCTTCACAGTTGGGAATGAGGTTTTAGTGTTGGTATGCTCAATATTAAACAAAACATCCCACTGTGTATATTTAGTAAACAGATAAACTTTGTCTCACTTGCCCACAGAACATTGCTCCAGTAGTGCTCGCAACATCCAGGTGGTCTTTATCAAACGTACTGTAGATAACTGATGATCTACGATTCAGTTAGTTAAGATGGTCAAGATGTGTTTAAGGAAGCTATGTTCATATATGGTCTTTCCGTTGTTGGAGTGCCCGCTGCTGGTTAGATAAGTTTGATATACAGGGGTTTTGGAGTGCTGC